AAAAAACTTAAAATTCAGTTTCCATTTATAACTTAAAACCTAGGAAATTAGCAGAAATTAATTTCTTTTAAAATGTATTCACACGAGAAAATTGTAGTCAGCATAATACTTAATGGTGAAACATGGAGTGTTTTACCTCAGACCAAGAGTAAGAAAGGGATGCCTGCTATCACTACTTCTGTTCATCATTGTTTTAGAAATTGTCCAAAACAATGCAGTAATGCAGAAAAACCCACAAAATTTTAAAAAAACATCATTTGCAAATATAATTGTATCCTGAGAAAATCCAACTTTGTAGTTAACAATCATTAGACATATTTACCAGGGTTTTTAGATACAAGGTCAATAAAACTATTTTCTACCTATCAGCAACTGTATCATTAATTGCTATATAACAAATTACCCCAAAACCTGATGGCTTACAACAGAAAAACAGGTCAGCATTGATAGAATGTAGGGCAAGTTATTAACAGGCACCTAATGCCAAGAGATGGGGCCATCTTGGAGACTGGCTCTCACACAACAAATGGAGAATGAGAGGTTTTAATAGCATTTATAATTGATTATAAACAAATTCAGATAGCTAGGAATAAATGTCTTATCGTTCAAAAAATAAGACTTCTACTAGAACACTAACAAAAAGGACACTAAAAAAATAAGGTGAAGATATGCTGTATTAAAAGTCCTAACATGTTTTTGTTTTGCTTGTTTTTTACCAGAAATTGGAATACTGAAGCTAAATTTTGTAAGAAAATAAAGCTGATACCAAATAAACAAATCTGTTAGTAAAAGATAGTAACTTTAAACTTGATAGACATATAGGGCAGTAGAAGAGACTGAGTTGAGAAAAAGAATCTACATATATGGCTACCTGATTTATGAACAAAGGAGACTACAATGGGGAGAAAGGGTAGTGTTTTTTCCCCCCAATAGTTTTATTGGCACATAATTCACATATCTAACAATTGAACAGTTCAATTGTTCAGTCACATCAAGGGGAGTTGTACAATCACCACCACATCTTTCCTAGGACCTCCTCCCACACACATACATTGCCTTCAGACCGAGCTGTGCAATCTCTATCAGTTCTAGTGTTCTCTCCCCCTGAAAGGGTAGGGGTAGTCTTGTGAGTAAACAGTTATGAATCAATTGGATACTCACATGGAGAAAATCATAATAATGGCTACTTGCAGCTCATGCTCTGTATAAAAAAAATTCAGATGGGTTACAGATCTAAATGTGAAACGTAAAATAAAACTTTTAAAAGGAAAATAAAGAAGGCTTCATGATCTTGGAGTAGACAACAATTTATTAAATATCATATAGAACACTAATTGTAAGGAGAAATTGGAAAAAATCCATATTAAGATAAAAAAGACAAGCCATAGTTTGAGAGACATACTAAGCATATGGCAAGAAATTCAGGAGAAAAATATGCACAAAGGATATAAAGATGACTTGTCAACATAGACATATGCTTTGCTTTGCAAATTTCATTTGCATGGAAGTGAAAATTAAAAGAGAAATCATACACACACATGCACACACAAGAATAGTTCAAATAGAAATGTATTTGTTTTGTAGAGCTGCTATATAACAAATTACCCCAAACTGAGTGCCTTAAAACCACAAATTTATTCTTTCTCAATTCTGGGGCCAGAAGTCCAAAATCAAGGTGTTAATAGCAGGACTACTCTTCCTTCTGGAATATCTAGGGGAAGAATTCATTCTTTACTGTTTGAAGCTTTTGGTCACTGCAGGCCTTTGTTGCTTGTGGTTGCATCACTCTAATCTTTGCTTCCAGTTATGCCTTCCCTAGTGTTGACTATCTCTGTATTTTGTATGTCTCAAAGCTGCCTCTGCTTCTTAAAAGGATTCATCCTTTGCATTTAGCATCTAACTTGGCATGATCCAAAGATAAGCTCTTCCTCCCAGTCTTTGGCCACTCCTTTTGCCATATAAGATAATACAGATTGCAGGAATTCAGACATGTATGTGTTTTGAGGGCTACCCTTCAGCCCACTACAGCAGACAATACTAAGGTACTGGTAAGATGTGAAATAACTGCAGCACTCATTTATCAGCATGGGTGTATAAATTTGCATAACCACTTTGGGGGAACTATTTGTCCATCCATGCTAAAGTTGGACATGTATATACCCTATCACCTGGCAATTTTACTCCTAGATGAATGAGGCGGCGGGGCCTCAAATAGTTTGTAGAAAAATTTCATTGTTTTCCATTTTCTCACAAACTTGCAAAGAAAACCTTAGTATATCCAACACCCAAAAGAAATACATATGTATACGATCAAAATACACAACAATATTTTTAGCAGTTTTCTTTATAATAGTCCAGAATTGATAAATTCCAAATCCCTATCCACTCTAGAATGATTAAATTAATAAAATGCAGTGAGAATGAATGAACCCTATAGTATCTATAGCAGCATAAATGAGTTTCACTGACATTGAGAGAAACCCAGCATGAAATATGTATACACTGTACAATTCTATTTTTAAAACTTCAAGAATAGACAAAACTCATTTCAGATAGAAGCCAACACAGTGAGGAAGGAAATACTGCCTGCAAATAGACATGAGATAGCTCTGGGACCCTGTCCTTAGCGGTGGTTTCTTTTAATCTGGGTCCTGGTTACATTGTGTATTCAAGCTTAGATTTGGGACTTATGTGCTTTTTTATCTCCTGAAAGAAAAATGGGTAGGAGTTACTGATTTCTTTTGGTTTGAAACATAACTTTATGACAAGACATCTCTTGATTGAACTAGTACAGTGTCGTCCATTTTGATAAGTATCGATTGATTTCTGAGGTTCAAAACTTTAAATAACATGGGTATTTGTTTCAGTCATCCTTAAGGACTTTTTTAATTGCAAATGACAGAAAGCCAAATCAAACTAAGCTAGAAGCAAGACGTCTAAGAGGTGGGACTGACCTAAGCAACACAGATGCAGGAGTCCAACCACTCTCTTGGAGTTTTCTTCCCCCACCCCCACCCCCAGCCCCGCATTTCAGGGTTGAGACTTGCTTGCCGTTTTCCTTCTCTAGCAGCTGCTCTTTCTGCATTGTAACAGAACTGGTGATGGCCACCACCTGCCTCACACAAATGATAGATAACCACAGAGAATAATGTGCATCTTCCCAATTGTGCCTTTAAAATCTAAGGGAGGCCTGGTTGGCCTAGCTTTTGTCCTGTGCCCAGGCTTGGTTCATGTGTTCACCCCTAAAAGGCAGATCTTGCTCTGGGGAGAAGAGTCTGTCTAACCAAATGGAAGAGTCTACCCACATGAAAGAGAGGGTTTGTTACCTAAGGAGAAACCATGATAGGCAAACAAAAAACATTCGTTTCAGGAATACAGATAATTCATTTTGTAAATGCTGAGAAACTACAGGTTTATTTAGACTTTGTAAGTAGAATACAGGGTGGTAGGGGCAGGTTTACATCAAAGACATTACAACCATTTATCGTATCACAGCAAGAACCCTCTCTGAGAACACAGATTTGAATAAGGTCTTTGAGTGGTCCAAAACCAAACTTACTGGCATTCCAACTAAGGCAGATGAAACTGAGCAAGAATAAGTAATACTTTTTACTTTCAACCTTGATGTAGAGAATACTAAAATTAATAATAGTACTTGAATTTCATTTCTCCCTAGCTCTCCACATCTTCTAAAGCCATTTGTTCCAAGGGCTAGCATATTTTTGGTCCTTTCTGCCTGTTTCTGTTTAGCTTGTGAGCTAAGCATAATTTTAAAAATATTTTTTAAGTGACTAAAACAAAAAGTTTGTTACTTGAATTTGGGATTTTAGTGACCAAGCATCTAGCTATCTATCCCATGTGTGCACAGTAGAACTGTTTCACAGAGTTTTCAAGACAGTGATGTTTTGGAAGCAAATTATAAATCCTATTTTATTTCTATCTGTTATTTTAATAATTCATTTTATTGGGGCTCTTACAACAATCCGTACATTAATCATATGAAGCACATTTGTACATATGTTGCCATTATCATTTCAATTACAAATCCTATTTTATTTCTATCTGGGTTTTTTTTTTCTATCTGTTATTTTAATAATTCATTTTATTGGGGGCTCTTACAACAATCCATACATTAATCATATCAAGCACATTTGTACATATGTTGCCATTATCATTTCCAGAACATTTTCTTTCTACTTGAGCCATTGGTATGAATCCTATTTTCCAAGGTACCTCTAGGTGGGTTTGAACCACTAACCTGTAGGCTAAGTAGTTGAGCACGTCATTATATGTACCACCCAAGCATTGACCACCTTCTGAATCTCAGTGCCATTCCAACTCATAGCGACCCTGTAGAACGGCTCCTGTGGGTTTCCAAGACTGAAAATCTTGATTCGAGTTGATAGCCTCATTTTTCTCCTGTGGAGCATCTGGTGGTTTTGAACTGCTGACCTTGTGATTATCAACCCAACGTGTAATCTACACCACCAGGGAAGCCATAAACTCAATTTTATCAGCATACAGCCTTGCTAATTTATTTACATATTGTCTGTGGCTGCTTGTGTGCTGCAATGGTAGAGTCGAATTGTTGCCACAGAGACTATGATTCGTGAACCTTAAAATAATTACTGTCTGAAGTCTTACAGAAAAGTTTGCCAACCTGTTTTAATTGTTAGTGCAGTCCACAAGGTGACCCATCTAAGTGTTTCATTCTGTTATACATACTGGCTGCTATGAGTGAACTCTTAGAGAGTTTTTGTACCTGTCTTCTTTTGCTGTAAAAAATACATACAGTGACTTCTTTTTGTGGGATTTATTATATTACTCCATGGAAACTTTCCTGGGATATCTTTTTTATAACCTAGTTTGTGGGAAGGGATGAATTACTGGGTAGGAAAGAATATGTGGTGTTCCACAAGTGGTATTCTCTTGTTGGCCAAACTTGCACCTTTTTGTCTTTCAGCCCAAGGAACAGCAGGAAAGACAGCCTGACATAGGGAACTGGGGACTGCTACACAGAGAGAACTGCAAAGCACCCTCAGTGCAGGAGGAACCCTAATTGACAGCCCCTATATCAAAGTGAGTAGCATTCTTCCCACAGACTTTGAATCAAGTCACATTTCTGATCTAATTGCTTTATTAAGTTCCTGGACTTCTTATGATCTCTGCAAAGGTTGTTGAATTCCCTCCACACACGGTCACTGCCATCGAGTCAAAGCTGACTCATAGCAACCACCTGTAGGTTTCAGAGACTTAACTCATTAAGGGAGTAGAAAACCCATCTTTCTCCCGAGGAGCTGCTGGTGGTTTTGAACTGCCGACGATGCAGATCACAGCCCAACTTAGAACCACTACACAACCAGGGCTAGATACATGATGGGGTATTCCCCAAACCCCCCCAAAAATAATTGCCCTGGACAGAGTGGAGCTTTCTAGAACTACACAGTTTTCCCACTGGGCAAGCATGAACAACATGGAGCAACTCACTCTGAGTTAATGCACCCAGTGGCATCGCCTGGGAAGTTTGTGGTCACAGTGAATTTTTTTGTAAAAGTCTCTCCCCTCAAAAAATATATAAATAAATAAATAAATGAAGTTTCTCCCAAACATAGTTTTTTGTGATGGCCAATTTAAGAGGATAGCATACAGCTGTGAAATTTTGTTTCCTGCTTGGGCAAAAATGCTGCAGAAACTGTTGTGATGTTGAACACAGCTTACAAGGACAGCGCTATGGGAAAAACTCAAGTGTAGGAGTGGTTTCTCATTTCAAAACAGGTGAAGTGTCGATTGATGACAAACCTTGTTCTGGTGATTGACAAAACTGTTGACTCGTAGTGCATTAGGAGTTTGTAGTGCATTAGGAGTTAGTTCTGTCAGTCGATTGATGACAAACCTTGTTCTGGTGATTGACAAAAATATTGACTCGTAGTGCATTAGGAGTTTGTAGTGCATTAGGAGTTAGTTCTGTCAGGTCAGATTGTTAATCAAGCTTTCTATTTAGAGCAGTGGTTATCAACCTGTGAGTCACGACCCCTTTGGGGGTCAAATGACCCTTTTGCAGGTGTCGCCCAATTCATAACTAACAAAATTACAGTTACAAAGTAGGAATGAAAATAATGTTATGGTTGGGGGTCACCACAACATGAGGAACTGTATTAAAGGGTCACGGCATTAGAAAGGTTGATAACCACTGATTCAGAGGTTCTGAAAAGACAGCGAAACAGTGTGTGACAAAAAAGGCCTGATTTGTGGCAGACGGGACTGGTTTTGCCACCTTGACAATGTACCTGCTCATGCAGCCATCTCAGTATGCCAATTTTTGGCAAAGAAAGCATGCCTCTCTGGCCCCACGCTTCTTACTCACCTGACCTTGCTCAGTGCGACTTATTTTTGTTTCCACCAATGAAGAGAGACATAAAAGGACAGCAATTTGACTATATAGAAGAGATGGGGGAGGTGGGGGAGGAAATGAGGGAGGTTCTCATCCAAACAGATGAGTTTGAAAAAATGTTTCCAAGAATGGAATCGCAGATTTGACAAATGTATTAAGTGTAATGGAGAGTACTTTGAAGGTGATGAGGTTGTTTTGTAAAAAAATGTAAATACATAACTTTTGGAGGGAGGGAATTCCGGGTTTGGTTTGGTTTTTTTAGTATCCCCCTTGTTCATATATATTATCCATATGATACTTGGTAGGTCCCAATTTTCAGAACTGTAGTCTTCGTTTGATCAATTAGTGGATTTTAAAATGATTATAATAGTATATACGTCTGTACTCCTTCACTCTGAGTATCTCCATGTGATATAATTAGAGAGCTCTTCAAATTAATTAATTCTGAGTTGTTAATTTTTCAGTGATTAAAAATAGATGAAATTGGATTGATCACTTTTTGCCTGCACTTCAACATAACATTTGATTATTATTTCTTCACCTAAAATTAATAGTAAAAATAGAAAATTCAGATGTTCATAAGAGCAGTTAGATAACTGAAAGTTAAAGATAACCATGAATTGAAAAAATGCAAACCTTGTCTAGAAGGTAGCTGAGAATTGTAATTCTGGGAACATTGAGCCCATTATTGCCACGTGTTTACATAAGAATTTGGGTTTTTATGTGTTGTTCCTCAGTTTTCTCATGCTAACAGCCAGTTTTTACAAACATCAGTATTTGGTGCCCAAACAAGAAATGTTTGTGGGCTAGATTTAACTCAAGCTTGCCAAATTGCAACATATCTTCCTATTTCAGGAAGAGAAAGAAGAATAATACGATGGAAAAATACTTACGTTCATGTTTAGCTGGGTTATCAGTCGTTCTAGTTGTTAGTCTTGCTGATTGACTGTTTCTGTATATAAGATCAATATTGAAATATGAAATATTTTTCATCAATCTGTTTTCTCTCCTTTCAACTGAAAATAACCATTTTTTTTAGTTGACATGAATACTTTTAACAATAATGAAATGTATACAACAGCATATTTTGTGGAGGTTCATACTAAGTGTAAATAACAGTTTGAAGAAGGAACTTTAGAGTTTAGTCCAATAAATGAATTATATACCCTGAAATAGTTGATTAATTTTCCTCTAAAGCAGGGATTTATCAACGGCCACTTGAACACTTATAACAATATCAAGACCATACTGGACAAACATTTAATTAACTCACCCCTAATGTGATGGTGGGAACAGCTTTCTCCTTTGGTGAGGCATGTGATGCTAGCTGCTATTAGTGATTTCATGGGCCAGGCGGTCCCCACCTTTGCTCTGAAGGATGGTAGAGTCACCTTCCTTATGAATATAGAACAGAGAGAAGTGTTGATGCAGGTGGAAGTGTACTCAGAAGAAATAGAATTTAAACTGATTCTTGAAAAGTGGATGGCATTTACTAAGAAAGGAACAGTTTAAACTAAAAGCTTGTTTCCTCCCAACAGTATTGCAAATATCTGAACCTGAAAAAATTATACGTGTAGGAAAAGCAGATAATACATTTCTGCTATGTGCAAGGCAATGTTTAGGTGCATTCTCTATGTATTATTTGATTGTGCTAGGTTATATAGATATTCACTCCCTGATAGGGACTTGTGAGTTAAAGAAGTTTAGTAACATGTTCAAGCTCCTACCTAGGAAATAGGTGTTGAGATTAACATATATTTTCTGTTGGCACATAGTAACTTGCTATAGAATTCTGAAGATTGGAATTTATCGGATGTCTCATGGAAAGACTTTTTTTAAGTATGATCACAGTGGGGAGAGGGTATGCAAGAACCTTTACAGAGATCCCTTTAGGTCGTTTGTGGGATTTGTAGAACATGAATGGTAGGTTAGGCACTTATCTCTGAGGCAGACAATCAGTAAACAACAAAATACGATGAACTAGGTATATAAAGTTAATTTGGAGGAGGGGCCAGTATAAGTAACACTGGTATAAAATAATGACAACCTGGTTTGGAGTGGAAAAGAGTGTAAGGCATTTCAAAATAAAACTTGGTGGCTTCACTCTAGGGAATTAAGCAGGGAAAAATAAGTTTAATTGGCATCTATTACATTTACTGTAATGAACTCCATATTACAATTATTTATTAATGATCTTATATATGAATTTTCATAATTAGCAATACATTTCTTTGCTGTCTTAAAATTTTGTGTTTTAGGTGTTTTTAATGCTGATGAGGATTTCTTAGGTAAAAATATTTGAAGGAAAAACAAATTTTTCTTGAGTTTGGTTTAATTAGCGAATTAAAACTGCACAATAATGTTGGATAAATGAAAAATATTTAAAATATCTTTAAAGGAAAATTAAAATTCAGAATGATTACAGAAGTGTAGGTTTGGAGGAGTGGATAGACTTTAACCAGTCTAGTCTATCTTCATTCTTTCAGATAAAAATAGTAACGTAGCCACCTGCTAGGTATGTGATCTGGAGCAAATTACAAATCCTTTCTCATTCATTTAAAAAATAGAGTTACTAGTACTATCAGCATCCTAGGGTTCTTAAGAGAATGAAATTGAATTGCATAAATAAAAGAGTTCCTGGCCCATAGAAAGCTTCAATAAATGTTAAGTGTTTTCTTAAGTTATTTGATGAGTACTTTTGATGAGCGCTTACTTGTGTTCTTTATTTAGATTTCTACCTTGCTATTTATACTGTAGTTGTTTTTCTCGAAATGATTTCTTTTCCAAAAAAAAAAATTCTTCCATATACACAAGTGTGAAGAACCAGTTTTTTCTTAGGAAAAATGTATTCCTTGAAAAAAACAGCTAGTTTGGCTCTCAACTCAAAAGAGTTGCAAAATGCTTTTATATATACTTTCTAGTTTACTCTGAGAATATTAACAATATGTACTTAGGGTGAAGAACTAATCAAGGAAGAGATTATGAACAACAAGAACTAGTACTGTTTGGTCCTACTACCTTGATTGGATACCTTGATAAGGTACCAGTAGCTTTACCCACCTTTGCTTTTACACTACCAGGGTAAATGTCAACATGGTACATAATTAGCGTTGTTACGAAAATAGCTTTGACCTTCCCAGGAATCCATGGAACACACGTTGGCAACCACTGATTTAGAGTGTGGACTCTGGAGCCATAATACCCAGGTTGAATCCCAGTTGCATTCAAGCTGCTAACCTTGAACAATAATCCTGATAGCCAAAACCAGAAAAGAGATGAAAGGATACAAGGGATCTCAAAAAGTTCATGGGAAAATTCCATTATCTTTCAATTCCATTTTCCCATGAATTTTTTAATGCCACTCATCAAACTACAGACCAATATTCCTTAGGAACATGGTTGGGGAGCCTCACAATAAAATATTTAATGTTAGCTTTCCTATTCCGTCATGACTATTACTTTTTAATTTAATAAGCATTTTTATAGCCTTACAAGAGAGGGAGGGAGGACATACTATATAAAGTGGGGCAATAAAGTATACGTGCTGAAACATTTTTCCAAGGTGGAATAAGAAAGATCCATGTAAAATGCTAACTTGTACCCCTAAGCTAAAGAAAATGCTTTTCAAAGGCAAATTCTAACCCTGGGCCTTTGTTTTGTAATGTAATGCATCATTACTCTGAAATTTGCATTAAAACCCCTAATCTGTCATTTCCAATAGTTTTGATGAGGTAAATTTTGGTAATAGAACAGTGAATGCTTTCCACTGGTGTTTATCAATTCAAGGAAATGTCGGTGGCAAACAGTATTTTTCTCCTGGTAAGTCTCTTCATTTAGCATGAAAAACTTAGGGAAAACCCCCCAAAATGAAACTCACTGCCATCAAGTCAATACTGACTTATAATAACCCTCATGGATAAAGTAGAACTGCCCCCTAGGCATTCAGACTATAATCCTTATGAAGTAGAAAGCCTCATCTTTCTTCCATGGAGCTTCTAGTGATTTCAAAATGCTGGCCTTGTGTAACCACTACACTTTTGAGCATGAATTCACCTACACTCATTGTGGAGGAACCTTGATAAGAGGGTTTTTTAAAGGAGGAAGAACTTGCTGTTACATCTATCATGTCATTCATATGGCACATAAGGTTCTTCTATCTCCTCGATCTTCTCAAATTGATTTTTGTCTTCATGTGGTTCCCTGACTGGCTGATGACTCTGCCCAGTTAATTTTTTAATTATACTTTTATATGTTTTTAAAAGAACAGTTCTAGTTTTTGTTTTCAATTAAACAAGAATTATCTTTATTTTGAGAAAATTTGAAAAGTATAGAAAGGCACAAATCAGGGATGGAGGTGGGCAGGAGTCACCATTGGCTTTGCCAACCTTTCATATGTTCTTTTCTCTTCTTTGTGATGATAAATGGATGTCTTTATGTCCTAATAGCAGCATATTATGTGTGTGTATAGATGTATGTATCTACTGGAAGTACTTATCTGTGCCAGGAAATTTGGTAGACAGCTACTTGGCCAACTGACTGGAAGAGAAACATATTTGTATCTATTCCAAAGAAAGGTGACCAACAGAATACACAAACTACAAAAGCAGTTAGCACTTAGCAAAGGGCTAGTAAAATTTTACTGAAGACCATGCAACAACGGTTGTAGCAGTACATTGATAGAGAGCTGCCAGAGGTTCAGACTGGATTCAGAAGAGGACATGGAACAAGGGATATTGTTGCTAATGTCAGATGGATCTTGGCAGAAAGCAGAGAATACCAGAAGGATGTTTTACTTGTGTCTTATTGACTGTGCCAGAGTATTTGTCTCTATGGATCATGATAAGCTATAGATAACCCTGAGAAGAATGGGAATTCCAGAACACTTTATTGTGCTCATGTGGAACTTGTACATGGATCAAGAGGCAGTTGTGCGAACGAACAAGGTTTAAAATCAGGAAAGGTGTGCAACAGGGTGAGGGATGTATCCTCTCGCCATACTTTTTCAGTTTGTATGCTGAGCAAATCTTCAGAGAAGCTGGATTATATGAAGAATGAATGGCATTAGGATTGGAGAGAGTCTTATTAACAACCGATGATATTTAGATGGCACACCTTGCTTACTGAAAGTGAGGAAGATTTGAAGCACTTGGTGAAGATCAAGGTTTGCAACCTGCAATATGGATTACAACTCAATGTAAAGACAACCAAAAGCCTCAAAACTGGACCAATAGGTAACATGATAAATGGAGAAAAAGTTGAAGTTGTTAAGGATTTTGTTTTGCTTAGATCCATAACTGATTGTGTTGGAAGCAGCAGGATGGCAGGGTTTCATTTTACATACTTTGTACATGTTGTCAGGAGAGACCAGTCCCTAGAGAAGGACACCATGTTTAGTAAAGTAGAGTGGCAATGAAAACGAGGAAGGCCCTTAAAGAGATGGATTGACACCATGGCTGCAACAATGGGCTGAAGCATAGGAACAATTGTGAGGATGTCCCAGGACTGTCCACTCCAGTAAAGATTTAAAGTCTTGGAAACCCACAGGAGTAATTCTTCTCTGTTCTATATGGTCACTATGAGTTGGAGTCAACTTGATGGTAGTGAAAGATTCTTTTAAAGGAAACCATTTTCCTAATGTTGGACATAGAGTTGTTTTCAGTTTGTCAACATTATAAATATCCTGTGAAGCATATTTTTATATATTCTTCTGTTTCTAATTATAGTCGAATAAGATTTTGAGAAAAGAATGGCTGAACAAGAGAGCTATCTTTTACAATGTTCTTATGGTTAACTTCTAAATTGCTTTCCCAAAAAATAGTGCCTATTTTTCATTCACCAGAATTTTGTTCATTGATTCATAACTTCACCAGCATTGATATTCTGCTAAATATTTTTTTAAATACATTACAAAAGGTAATATTTGAACTTGGAGCAAAAGCTTAAATGCCTAAAAATTAAGTAGTGTAATACAGATTAAATAAAATGTATCTCTGATTAGACAGTCCAAACTGAACTAGTCTTAAAGAAGTTTTCCAAAACATTCTGGTAGTGCAGAATCTCTTCAAAACAGATACATTTCTCTAGCACTTATTTTTTGTTTCTGAGCCAGTAATGATCTGTTTATGTAGATTGGGTTAGTATTTGTTATTTTGGTCGTAATTTTGGGTCTCTCCTAGTTACCTTTCTTATATAGAGATAGCGCAATAGTGTGGTTCAGGGAATAAAATATGGTCTTTTTCTTCATTTAAAGAGTATGTTTGCATAATGTATAACTACAGTTTTGTGTCTGATTTCTTTGCTAATTCTGTGTAAATTTCAGGTGTGTAACAGAAACATGGCCCAAGAAACTAATCACAGCCAAGTGCCTATGCTTTGTTCTACTGGCTGCGGATTTTATGGAAATCCTCGTACAAATGGCATGTGCTCAGTATGCTATAAAGAACATCTTCAAAGACAGAATAGTAGTAATGGTAGAATAAGCCCACCTGGTAAGTTAAGTCTATTCATACATTGTATTGGAATACATTTGGTCAGCCCAGAAAAATGCTTAAATGCACTTTTCTCTTCTTATGCTGTGCTTATAGTGTCACCTTTATATCAGTAGACATTATGTTTATTAGTGGTGGGAGAAAGGAACAAGAGGACCTTCATCCTCTGAAAACAATTAACTCAAAACCCATTCCCTAGTCCTTTTGTTTGTTTTATTGTGCTACAGAACTCTTCATTTTATGTAAAGTTTGGGTAACTGCCTTGGAAAGGAAGGTAAAGAGAGTGAAGGCTGTAAGAAGACATTGGTTCTTTTATTTAAATGACTTTTGAAGTCAGGGTAGTTGAACAAAAGAATGGATGCTGGCTCTTAATCCCTTCAATGAAGTTGATTCTTACTGATAGTAACCCTATAGCCACAGCTAACTTTAGAGAAAACCCTACTTTGTTTGGAGAAGGGTTGCTTCCTAGTAAGCTGACGGAAGTAAGAAGTGTTCAGCCCAGTTCATGTGGGTTCTTTAGATCCTTTTGAGTCGTAGGGGTCTCCTAGAATTGAGGTGGGCTTTTAAAAACTTGTTTTTAAGGTGAGCTTTGTTGCAGTGAAGGAGCCCTGAATATCAAGGTGGTCAAATGCTCAACTGCTAGTAAAAAGGTCAACAGGTCAAAGGCACCTGCTGCTCTGCAAGAGCAAGATGTAGCAGGTTGCTCCTGTCAAGATTACAGTCGTGGAAACCTGTGGGGTAGTTCTGCTCTGTCCTGTATGGTCATTATGAATTGGAATTGACTCAGTGGCCATGGGTTTTTTTTCTTTTCAGTAGTTGTGGGAAATGGAGCATGAGGATTCTGATTATAAGATGGGTAAAAGGAAAATGTCAAAAAGTATTTCTGTAAGATAGTTCTCATATAAGTCAATGTGTGGATTTTTTCGTGATTAATGGAAACAGACTGTCGTGTAAGTTCAATGTTGTATGGAGTCTTTCTTGTCACTGTTTCATTTTTCAAACCCCAACTGGAACTCTTTCATTGAAATATCTTCAAAATTTTTTACTCATTTTATTCAAATGACTATGAATGTTTGTTTCACTTGATTAAATACCATCTGCAATTCTGCTATATGAAATAAAGGAAAATTATATTCTAATAGGCTGAGCACACATAATAATCTGAATTTGTATCCGCTTTACTCTTAAATTTTCTTTTATATTAAATAGCTCATTTGTGTATTAGTACTTGGAAGATAATTTGTAAATTAACATTTTGGGTTTGATAAATACTCAGTAATGAGAAATAGGAGTTAAGTTTCCAAGTTAAGTAAATCTAATGAATCAGCACTGTTATGTGCTGAAATAAAATCTGTGTACTATATTTTGTGGAAAATTGATCTTGGTTTTTTTAGATAAGGTCTTGGACTGCCCAGAGCACAGAATCACTAATACGAAGTGTGGTACTCTTACAGCAACTTCTGTCAGTAGTCTGTCTGAGTCTTTACCCGTTCAGTGCACAGATGGCAGTGTCCCAGAAGCTCAGTCATCATTAGACTTTACTACATCTTCATCTGTGCAGCCAAGGTAAGCTGTAGTGTGAGCTGTCATCAGAAAGCTGGTGAAAAAGAGTAGTTTCATATTTGATCAGAAAGTTCCATTAAGGGAACTCTGTAATACCACTTTAGGAAAAATATCATCTAGTTATTAATGCTTTTTATTGTTTTTTGCTAAGGATAGTTTCTTTGTTAAGCCAGATTTCCGCTTTATACTTTTCCTTTTTCATATGTTCTTACTCACCTCTGAAGTTCTTTTGAAGCATCAGAAGATCATTTTTCAAATTTTGATCTTATTCTGCAAGAATTAGTACTTTATTTTAAAAATATAATCTTGTCACAGATTTTCTCTAATTACCATGATATTGACTTACCAATTGGTAAATGGATTACCAAGTACCACGATGTTGGCTTGTATCATAGTATATATGTATTTTTTTTCCTTTTAATTGTGAAGTTCTATCATTAAGAATACTGAAAAATATTTGCTTCATTTTTATTGTTATTAAACATAATTTAAATTTCTATTATGGTTTATTGTTTTTTTCCAAATTCATGCTAAGAGATGTTCACTTCTATACCAGTATATAACTTGCAACTTTGTACAAGGGTTTCCTTAAACACATCTCTATCACCTAGTTTTTACTTAGTGAACTCATGTGGTACTTGAAATACACACAGGCCACACTATTGCTTTTTTATAAAAGCAATACACGAATCCAAATTGATCTCGTTTCAAAGCTCTGCAGTTATGTGTCCCATGTCTTAAAGACCTACTTCGATATGTTGAATTAACTCTTTATACATTATCTCTTTGGTCAATATTCACACATGCCGATCTTTTTAAATCTAAATGTTTTTTGCTTTTCCAGCCCTGTATCAAATCAGTCACTTTTATCAGAATCTGTAGCATCTTCCCAAGTGGATAGTACATCTCTGGAGAAAGCAATAACTGAAACAGAAGATCTACAAGGTTTGTATATAAACAGCCTGTATTTTGCCATCTGTTCAACATTTGAGTATTGTAGGCCAGGCATTATACTAGACATGTGTATTTTCTTGGTTTTGTTTTTAAATCCTGGTTAAAATTCATATTTCTATTTTATTTATTAGATAAAGAAATTATTCTTTTTTTTGTTTCATTTTGAAAATCATTTTATTGAGAGAGCTCTTACAGATATCATAGCATTCCATAGTTCAATTACATTAAGCAGTGTTGTGCAATTTCTACCACAATCAGTTTCAAAACATTTTCTTTCTTCTTGAACTCCTTGATAACAGGTTCTTTTTATCCTTTTTTTTTTTCCGGCCGTATCTTACACAATCAAGTATATCCATTCACATACAATTCTGTTGTTCAAGCCCATCGAATGTGTTTATAGAGTTATCAATGCTATCAGCAAAGAAATTATTCTCCTTGAAATATTGAAAGTCATTTCCTCCTTGAGAATATTCCTGAGAAATTCCATTATCTTTTAATTTCACTTTCCCACCAACTTTTTGAAACTTCCTTGCATGTCATTAGCATCAAATGTAGAAAATTCAAGAATGTGGTTTATATCAGAAATATAATTAAATGAACAGAGTTGGACTGCTAAGCAGAAGGTCAGCATGTCAAGAGCACCAGTCACTCCTTAATGGAAGAAATAATGAGGCTTTCTGCTCTTGTAAAAGTTACAGCCTCAAACCTACAGGGACGGTTCTTCCATATTTTGTAGGGTTACTATGAGTCAGAGTTGACTCAGTGGCCATGAGTTTGTTTTAATTTTCTTTTTTGGCCGCTTTAAAAACTCTTCTTCCTAAGCAAAGTGGGACTGTTGATTTGAGGAGGGGATCTATTTCTCCTGTTATTTGATTTAAATTGTTTGAGACTATAAAATCTCTGGCAGTCATCCTGCTTACCTCACCTGTGACTTAACAGCCCCAGTTAATTGTAGTCACCGCGTGGTGCCTCGTATTCTTGCCTCTGCTTTTTATGTCCCCATTATATGGACCAAAGTGAATTAAGCCAACTTGAAAATTTGTCTGAGGGCTTTTTTAATAGGCAGAAAGAATACATAGAGGGGCATTTAAAAGACTGTTAATATGTGTTACTATTAGTAGACATGTGTTACTATTAATCCATCTGCCAATGTGTGAAAGTAGTATATCAAAAGGAAAAGCAAGTCCCCAAGGATAAGACTTTAGCATGTTTTGTTTTGTTTTTTCTTTTTCTCTCTTTTTTTAAAATCATTTTATTAGGGCTCATACAACTCTTATCACAATCCATACGTACATCAATTGTGTAAAGCTCATTTGTACATTCATTGCCCTCATCATTCTCAAAACATTTCCTCTCCACTTAAGCCCCTGGCATTAGTTCCTCGACTTTGGCATGGTTTAAAGAGATTGGGATACCCTAACCAGTGAAAATCTTCCATTGTACATGGTGGCAATAGATGAATATGACAATTTTCACTTACATTTGCTTAATTTTTAGTTTGAATTAGCTAAGGAACCCTGGTGGCATAGTGGTTACATGTTAGGCTATAATCCACCAGGTCTGAAGTTCAAAATCACCAACTACTCCATAGGATAAAGACGGGGTTTTCTACTCCTGTAAAGAGTTACAGTGTGGGAAACTCCAAGGAGCAGTTCATGCCTGTCCTATAGTTGCTATGAGTCAGCATTGACTCAACAGTGAATTTGGTTTTGAGTTAAATTAACTAACTTCCCTTCCTCTGGTACTATTTGGCTAGTGTAGATATTCAAATCTACTTAGCATGTTCTAAATACTATAAATAAGTGAATTTTCTTTTTTACTTTAATAGATAATAATAGACACGTGTGAATATTGACCAAAGAGATAATGTATAAAGAGTTAATTCAACATATCGAAGTAGGTCTTTAAGACATGAGACACATAACCGCAGAGCTTTGAAACTTGAGATCAATTTGGGTTAGTTTATTGCTTTTTAAAAAAAAGCAATAGTGTGGCCTGTGTGTAATTTCAAGTACCACATGAGTTCACTAAGTAAAAACTAGGTGATAGAGATGTGCTTAGGGAACCATTGTACAAAGTTGCAAGTTATGTACTGGTATAGAAGTGAACATCTCTTAGCATGAATTTGTAAACAAATAGAAGATATATCAAGATTTGGATATTCATTGATTATAGGAAATGAGAACACAGTGTGATGCTAAACCTTTTATTTTATTATGCAAGTAGTCCTAAACTTAGGATGTTTTTGAATTTTGGCACCTGCACGTAAAACCATCTGTTTGGGGATTTTTTTTAAATACCTTATCATTAGTGATATTTACTAAATACAGTGCTGTAGCATATAAGTTAATGATGCTGTCATCCTCAATATATAATGTTTCCAATCCACAAATAATGTAAATATTTTAAAAGATAATGATAATAAAAGTCAATGAGAACATGAAAAGAAAGTTTTTCACTTACATCAGAACTGATTTAGCAGTGGAGTATTCATTGGAATGAAACCTATAATGGGCGATAGGTTTAGACAGATTTTCAGATAGAAAAAAATTAAGCAAAACCTCTTGCCATCAAGTGGATTCTGACCCAGAGAAACTATAGGACAGAGTAGAGCGATTCCATAGAGTTTCCGAGACTAAATGTTTTAAAGAAGCAGACTGCTTCATATTTTTTATCATGAATAGCTGTTGGGTTTAAACCTCGGACCTTTTAGTTAATCATTGCAACCATCAAGAGCGCTTCCTCATTTTAGGTATATTGGGGTGTGAGTGAAGAAGCATTGGGGCAAGAGGATTACACATTGGGCTGCTAACCACAAGGTCAGCCATCCAAACCCTCCAACTGCTCCACAGGAGCAAGAGGAGGAGGCTTTTTGCTCACATAAAGATTTACAGCCTCAGAAACCCACAAGGGCAATTCTCATATGAATTGTGAATCAGAATTGATTCAAAGTCAGTGAGTTATTTTGTTTTGTCTGAGGTTGTGAGTGATTTGTTCAAAGAGAAAAGGCTTAGTTGGAGGTTGTAGATAAGATGTCAAATCAAATCACTGCCATTAAGTCAATTCTTAGACTTTTAGGATTATTCCTGTGGATTTCCAAAACTGTAACTCTTCAGTGGAGCAGAAAACTTTATCCTTCTCCTATGGATCGGCTGGTAAGTTTGAACTGCTGGACTGTGTTTGGTATTCCAGCACATAACCCACTACACCACTAGAGCTCTGTAGACAGGATAGGAGGCAGATAGATGTGGAGTAATCAAGGTTATACCTGAGATTTGGAAGTACTTGACATAGGTTAAGAAATGAAAAGTTAAAACCAGGAGCAACAAGAATAATGGGCCTGCAAAGTTGGGGGAGGAAATAGCTAATGAGGTTTTGATTAGTTTAAGTATTAGTATTCATTTAAGTATTAGTTTTCGGTGGGTAAAGTCTCAATAGTTTTAGTTTGAAACATTTTTATCATACACAGGTACTATTGAATTAATAATGCCATCTTCATTTATTCACACATCCATATGTATATACACAGACATGCGCTGTTGCTTTTTCTGTTGAATCAGCATGAACACAGATGACTTTTTACATCTATTAATTAATAGATGGATGAAAAGAAACATAGTCAAGTGAAAAGGCCTTTGACTCAAAAGTCATGTGATCACTTGAACTGGAATCTAGTCACCAGACTAAGCCAGTATTCTTTCCACTAGATCGTTAGACTAGGTCAGGGATCCAACTTCCATCAGATCCCAGGATAAGTTCCCCTGGTTGGGAGCACTAGCCAGATATCTCTTTTCTGCCATTATCACTGCATGTGCATTCCTTAAAGGACATTGTTTAGCCAGGAACACCATTCTCTCTGGAGCATGTATGTGTCATCACCTGTGCACTTAAGCCAGTTTCCGAATGTTTTGTATTGCAGTTTTTAGGATAGTGGCTCTGAGGTAGCTTCTTTCTCTGCAGGTATTCTGCTTATAATTAGGATATGCCACCACCAGGTGGGTGGTGATGTTTCTCATTTTACCCTCATTGTTCTGAAGAATTTTCTTCCTGCTTACTGAGAATCTAACATACTGCTGCATGACTCTCATTTAATTATGCTTTTAATTTTTAAAATAGCAGTACTTTATACAGTGTCATTTTAGGAGTATAAGTCATATCTTTAGTTCACAAAAGCTAGTTTAAAAGAAGAAGAAAAACCCTTTAAAGCATTTTTATATACTCTAAAAGATCATAATTGACTGCCTGTCTTGCTGAATAATATGCCTGACTTTGATTAACCTCAGTACCCCCAAGTCATGGGTAAGAGTAAAAGACTATGGAATTTCAATGCAAAGGTTCTATATTCATACATTACATGTAGAAGTACTTGACATTCCTACTTTTCTGAGCCCTCATTACTTTTGAAGGCAAATAAGAGCATGACTTCTGTTATAGCAGATAAGTCAGATTATGGAGGTGAGAGTTTGTAAACTATAAAGGATATTCTTATTTTTTGTGATGTCATGGTGATTTGGGAGTTATTGGAGACTTAGAATGAGAACTGAAAAGTAATCAGACCATTATTTCTCTTTAAGAGCAAAGGAAAATAATTTCTGAGGTAGTAAGCATTCTAACAAAACAGTTGTCAGGGACAGCATAGTAGGGATCACTGCACTGAGTACATATAGAACTAAAATTTTCAGGCTCTTTGAACTTTGAAGGTTGGTTCCTTTCAACTCAAGGTTCTTAATTTCATATAAAGTCAATTTATTAATGTAGAGCAGTATTTCCCAAAGTAGGCAATACCTGCCCCTGTAAATGGGAGGGCATGAGGGTGCTGGAATGATGAGAGTGACAGAAGCAGATACGTATACTTTATCCTAAGGAACTCTGGTGGCATCATAATTACGAGTTAGTTTGCTAATTGCAAGGCCAGCAGTTCAAAACCACCAGCCACTCATAGGGAGAAAGATGGGACTTTAATGCTATAAAAAGTTAT